AACTTGGAAAATAATATATTTAATGATATAAACTAGTGATGTATAAAGTTTTCTATAGTTTATGGTTGTTAAAATCTTTTTTAATTGACGTCCGATTTTCCTTGACTGTTACGACTTTTTTACGAGTTTTTGTATTTTTAGCTCTTTTGTATTAAATTATTGTGCAATTTGCATTTGGTTATTTAATTTTATAGTGTATCCTAATCACGTGTATTGAAATTTATTTTTTTTTATTTATTTTTAGTTTATTAATTTTCTTAACTTTAATCATTTTATTTTATTTATACAAAATTTTACCAAACCTGAAAAAGTTCTATAGAATTTCACTGGAAACTTTTTTTAGGTTTAATTTATAATAATTAATTTTAATTCGAAATTTCAATTTCAATTTTAATTTCCCTTAATCAGATTTGAAATTTCGGATTTTGATAATAAAAAACAATAAATATTCGATAAATAAATAAAATTTGATAAATAAATTTTCGAAACAATAAATAAAAAAAAAGTTTTTGACTTTGAAAAAAGAGAAGAAAATTTCTTTTCATAAAAATTTTCCTTTCGCCAATTGCAAAAATGTTGCGCCCGAAAAAAAAATTATTCTTTCATTTTCCTGAAATATTGTTGAGCATAATTTGAAAAACTCGACTCACCGGGTGAATTCGTATTGTTAGGCAAAGTAGAGGGAAGATAAAATTATGAAGAGGTTTGCTCCGGTTTTCTAGGACATTGTCCGACCCGATTGTTGTCTCGAGATAAACTTTATCCAACCATTAAATCACACGTGCTGAAAATGGAGTCGAGTTTTGCTAAGAGAAAGAGGGAAAATAGAGAGAATGAGAGGGAGGGAAAGAGAGAAAGAAAATGAGGGAGAGAAGGAGAAGAAAAGAGAGTGTAAGAGAGAGAGAGAGAGAGAGAAAGGGAGAGAAAGGTAGGAGAGAGAAAAGGAGAGAATGAAAGAAAAAATTTGAAAATAGGAAGAAACTAGTTCGAACTCAACCAACGTCTAAAGTCTATGGTTCTAGAATGGTTCTCACGCGAGCGTTCACACGCGCTTAGCAGTTGAGGAGTTCTGATAATGATCCGTCGAGTTGGTGGAAAACGAGAGGTTTCAAGTTAATTAACGATCACTAAATCGACATTTCGATCTCATCCCCCCACCCTCCTGACTGTTTTCCTTCCTTCCTTCCTTCTCCCTCCTCTTACTCCTCAATCGAACCTAATTGAGAATCGATGTCATCAGTGATGCCTCGAAAACAGCAAGCGTGGCGCGCGTAACGTGGTTGATCGGTTGTCGTGAGTGGTGACACCCCCATTTCTCTTCTCTCTCTCTCTCACTCACTCTTTCTCTCACTCTCTCGCACTGTCTGTCTGTCTGGCTTTAGTCTCGTTTCAATCGCTTTTGCGTTCAAATGTCGAAAGTGAAATAAGCAAAGGCGTAACGTCAATCGAACGTAATTGGCATTATTGGCAAAATGCTTTGGTCCAGAGGTTAAAAAATCGCCTGAAAAGCAATGTTGAAAATTAAAAAAAAGTAGGGAAGGCAAAAGTGAAAAAAAAAATATACAAAAATGGAAAAGTCATTTTTTTCCGTATTTTTTTAAATTTATTTTATTTACGTTCCTTATTTACTCACAGTAAATCCTGAGGTATTAAAAAGTATTGCAGATTACATTAACACCAAAAACGATTAAAATAATCTTTGGTGTTATTTTTTACAATGAGTGAAATTTTAGTTCATTAAATTTTTTTATAACTATAAAACATGAAGATATCGATAACTCCGAGTCTTCGATTTCTTCATATTTTATAATAAATAAAGATGACCAAGTAATAAAATCATTATTTTATATTATACGAATATTATACTTCTTTAAAATTATTTTCATTATTTCAATTCAATTATTATTTTCAAAAATTTTTAACTACAATTTTACTTTATATCAATTATTTTTAATAATTTTCGAAAAAGTTCTTTGGCAATTTTCAAATCCATTTGTTTACAATATTCAATTACACGAAATTTCAATTATTCCTAAATTCTTTAATTAAATGCATATTAGAAAATAAAAACTTCAAATAATATTAAAGAAAATTCAATTAAATTTTTTCAAAAAAATTAATTTCAAAATTCAATTATTTCTAGAAATTTACGCTATATTGCTTTTAATATTCAATTACAATCTAAAATTTTAACTGAAATTCATTTTTATGAAATGAAAATCAATTTTTATTGGAAAATTCTACAAGAATTTAATTATTTAAATGCAAAAGTAAATAATTTATTGATTAATTGAATGTTTCTCCAAATTCAATTCTCGTAAAGAATTTTATTAACAAATTTTTAAATAATTGAATTCTTTTTGTCAAATTTTATTAAAACTTGCATTGAACAGAATTACTTTGTTCAAGGAGTTCAATTATAATTGTATGAAAAATAATTGAAACGCTGCGATGAGTTTTATTATTAGTAAAAATAATTGAATTCTGAAGAAGAATTTTATTACTCTTGAAAAGAATTGAATTTCTGCAATAACTTCTAACTTCTCTAAAATTAAATTTTTTTCTAGTGTTTTTAACTAAACTTCTTCAATAAATCCATTATTTTTAATAATTTTCAAAAAAATTTCTTTGAGAATTTTTAAATTCATTCGTTTAAAATTTAATTTTACAAAATTTCAATTATTCAGAAATTCTGCAATTAAATATATATTGAAAAATAAAAACTTGAAATAATTTTAATAAAAATCCTATTAAACTTTTAAAAAGAATTAATTCTACAGAATGGTTTGTCAAAAATATGAAAAAATAAGAATTTTAATGATTTTAATTTGAAACTTTTTCAAAATTTATAATATTTCTAAAAATCCACGTTATAATGCTTTTAATATTTAATTATAATCTAAAATTTTAACTGAAATTTATTTTTAGAACCATTTTTATCACTGAATTCTACGAGAATTCAATTATTTAAATACAAAAATAAATACTTTATTAATTTCATGTTTCTTGAAATTAAATTCTCATAAAAAATGTTATCAACAAATTTTTTAAATTATTAAATTCTTTGGACGAATTTTAATAAAATTTTTAAGAATAATTACATTTTTCGAGGAACTTGATTAAAATTGCATTAAAAATAATTGAAATTATGCAATGAGTTTTATTATTTATGAAAATCATTGAATTCATAAAAGAATTTTATTATTTATAAAAATAATTGAATTCCTGCAAAAATGTCATTATTTATGAAAATACTTGAATTATTGCGAAGAAATTTATAAAAAAAATTGTAAATAATTGAATTTCTGTAAAAATTTTTATTATTTATGAAAATAATTGAATGTTTTTGTAGAATTTTATTCAAATTTTTTTTAATAATGGAATTCTTTTGGAAAATTTTATTGAAATAGTAGATATTGAAAATCATTGAATTAAGGAAAATTTTTGAAAATTATTGAAATTTTGACAAGAATTTTATTAAAATTTTTGAAAATAATTGAATTTCGGAGAAGAATTTAATTATTTATAAAGAGAATTGAAATTTTGACGAGAATGTTTTTAAATTTGTTAACACAATATTGAATTTAGTAACTATGTTACTAAGTTAGTTAGTAAGTTAGTAACTAAGTTATAGTGACTAACTTACTAACTTACTATTCTCCCTGGAGAAGATAAATTCGTTGAATTTTTACAAATCCTTGACTTTGGTGTTTTATTTAAAGTAAAATTTCATTCATAGTTAAAAATAACACCAAAATAGAATATTTTAATCCTTTCTGGTGTTAATTTAATCCTAGAGGGATTAAACTGTTGCAGATTATTTTAATCCATTCTGGTGTTATTTTAACACCTCACGTTTTACTGTGGCTACTTTGACTTATTTACTATTTTACTTTAATAAAATATATCGAAATTTTACTTTCTTAATTTTTTTTCTTCTTCTTTTCTCTCTTCTTAATTTTTTTTCTTTCTTTTTCTATAAGTTTTTTAAAAAATTTTTTTATATTAGTTGATATAACTCCTTTTGAAGTGCTAATATAGATTGTGAATCATCTCTTATTAATGGTTCGCACCAAATTCGACAAATTTCTCTACGAAATAAAAATAAAGGAAAAAAGTGATTGTTTTAAGTGGTAATGGTCAATTATGTGGTCAGACGTGGATAATAATTGATACTTCAGAATTATGTATTGAATAATAATACTACAGATTATATTTGCAACAAGAATAATTGGTTCAAATGAGTAGTAAGGGTCGATTTTGGTCAGACATAACTTAGATTTAAAATTTATACAATAAGCTAGTAGTAAAATCAAATTATAGTTAGACAAACATTTCTACTATATAATTTAGTAGTGAAATAAAACTATAGTCAGTCAAAAAATTATAATTTTCTATTATAGTTGTATAGCATATTTGATTCAAATAAGTAGTAAGGGTCGGTTATGGTCAAACAAAACTTAAATTAAAAATTCATATATTATTTATAAAATTTCATACTTATTAAACCAGTAGTAAAATCGAACTATAGTCGGACAAAAATTTCAATTTTCTATTATATTTCTATTATATTTATACCGTATATTTTTAGTTCAGATAAGTAGTAAGGGTCGGTTTTAGTCAGACAAAATTTGTTATTTAGGAATCATACATAACCCAGTAGTAAAATCCAGTTTTAGGCAGACAAAAAATTCTGATTTTCTATTACTCCTGTTTCAAATAAGTAGTAAATGTCGGTTTTCATCAGACAGAACTTGGATTATAAATTCATACCCAACCTAGTAGTAAAATCTAGCTTTAGTCAGACGAAAAATTATAATTTTCTATTATTCCTGTTTTGATATTTAGTCAAAAAAACTTTATTGTCCAAAGATTTTATTTTTTTCAACTTAATATTTTTTGTGAGGACGATTAGTACCAGTGGTAGTAAAAGTAGTAAGAGTCAATTATAGTAGGACAGAAATAATTTTTCGAAAAATGTTAAAATATTTTTTACTTACCATTTAGATGTAAAGCGAAAGAGGGGAATGAAATCTAAAAAGAAAAAAAAATTGTTCGTTAGTGAAGATGAAAAGTGGAACCAAAGGAAGTTTTGTTTTTAAGTGGTAATGGTCAGTTATATAGTCAGACTTGTAAAATAATTGACTTTGCAAAACTTTCCTGATGAAAATACAACTAAATTTTGTTTAAATAAGTAGTATAAGCCGGATTAAGTCCGACGAAGCTTGAGCTGGAAATTCTAACATGCTTTGGCATGTAGAAAAATCGATTTTTAGTAAAAGACACAAAATTCATAATTTTCTATTTTAGTATTTTTTCTACTTTCTAAATTTGAATCATCGACATTTTTCTGATTCAAATTTAGACAGTACGAGTAGTAGTAAAGGTAGTAAAAGTAGAGACGTAGTAAAATTATTAAAAGTAGTAAAAATGTTAAAAAATAGTAAAGTAGTAAAGTCATAAAAATAATAAAAGTGGTAGAAGTAGAAAAAAGTAGTAATAGTCACCGAATAGTCAGACAAAAGGTAAGTAATACGTAAAAGTAGTAAAAATGTTAAATTAATAAAGTAGTAGAGCCGTAAAAATAGTGAAAATAGTAAAAATAATAAAAGTAGTAAAAACAGTAAAAGTGGTAAAAGTAGAAAAAAGTAGTAGTAGTCACCGAATAGTCAGACAAAAGATAAGTATTGAGTAAAAGTAAAAAAATTATTAATAGTCCCTGAATAGTCATCCAGAAAAATTTTTATACTAATTTCCTAATATTTTCTTATTTAACCTTTTTCACAAGAAAAAGCTCAAGATAAAAAGGAATAAAAATGTTTATACAGACCAAGAAAAAAAAAAGAAAAATCATTCGATAGCAGGGAGAGATGGGAAAATATCTGAGAAATTTACTATCCTCTAATTCAAGGAAAACTGATGATATTTGAAAGTAAAGCAATTCATCAGATGTCAGAATCGGCAAATTTCGAAGGGCTGTATATTTTTGGTTTTAACTTTGGCGAAAGAAGCACGAAATTCGTTTTTCCGCAGATTCGAGCGGACGGATATTTGTGGGTTCGAAGGTACCGATAGATTGATATACATATGGATGTTGAACGGACATAGAATGCGGGATCGAGTAAGCTCTTTTCAGGGGGAGAGGGTCATTGGTCGATTTTCGAGAGATTCGACGACTCTGACAAACGTGCGCCACTTGGAGAGTTATCCTATCTCTACATCGTATATGTCCCAATTGAAAGAGAGAGAGAGAGAGGGTCCGAAAATACAGAGAGAGAGAGAGAGAGAGAAATTTGACTTGAGGACACTGGCAAAATTTACCGTGTATTAATTGTTAAATTTATTGTCGAGCAAACTTCCGCATTTCGAAATTTCCATCTCTCGTAGATTCAAACTTGTTTTACCGGCTCATGAATCCTTCTCAATGATTTGTAGTTATAAGAAGTCATTGCATTATCTCGTCCTTTCTTTTTTATTCAATTTTGTCTTATCTCAAAATTTATATCGATTCAAATTTGATTAAATTTTCAGCTGTTCGTGGAATTTAATAATATAAATTTCAATTTGGGAAAATTATTTCTTTTTTAACGTTCGCAGAAAAAGAAATCGATAGTTAAGTTTAATTTTATAAAATGCACAAAGAGAATTCGCACTGAAACAGCAATTTTTTTTTCTAATTTAATCAATTTTCATATGAGGGAGAAAAAAATTTGCTGTTTATGAAAAAAGTTACGTCTGACCAAAATCGATTTGTACTACTGATATTAAATAATCTCTAATTATATAACTAGTTCACTTAAAAGGCAGGAAAATTTTAATTTAAAATTGAAAAATTCTGAAATAAGAAAATTTTTAGAAAAATTATGTCTGACTGCAATTATTTTATTCTACTGATATTGAAAGATCACTAAAGAAACATTTGTTTTTATTACAAAATAAAGAAAATTTTAAATTAAATCTGTAAAATTTTGTAACAGAAAAGTAATAATTAGTTACGTCAGACTAAAATCGATTTGTACTACAATAATATTACATAATCTATAATCATATAAGCTTTTTGTTTATTAATTAAAAATCAGGAAAATTTCAATTTAAAAATGTCAAATTCTGAGAGAGAAAAATTTTGAAAAGTTATGTCTGACTACAATTATTTTACTCTACTGATATTGAAAAATAACTAATTCGTTGCTTGATTCAGAAATGAAAAAAATTATAACTTAAAATGCTAAAAAATTTTTAATAGAGAAATAATTACGTCTGACGGAACTCGATTTATACTACTGATATTAAAATAAAACTATAAATTAATTAAAAATTAATTAAAATTTTTTTTAAAAATAACAAAGAGAAAATGAGATTTTAAAAATAAGAAAATTCTAATTTAATTACATGTCAAATTCGACAATAAAAAAGTAATAAAAAGTTATGTCTGACAAAAATTGATTCATACTACTAATATCGAAAATTAAAATTTTGAAAATGAAAAAATATGAAAATTTAAATTTTATTTTGTCAATAAATTCTACAATGGAAAAATAATAAAATCTTATGTGTGACTACAATTATTTTACTCTAACTGATATTAAAAACTAAATGAATAGAAACATTTGTTTGATTACAAAATGAGAAAAATTTAATTTAAATATGTAAATGTTTGTAATTAAAAAATATCTAATAGCTCTTTCTGGACAAAATCGAATTATATTATACTGATATAAAAAAATAACTAATTTGAAAATTTCAAAAAATACGAAAGAGAAAATATGGTTTTGACGTTGAAGAAAATTTTCATTTAATTATATGTCAAAATCTACAGTAAAAAAGTAATGTATGTTATATGTCTGACCAAAGTCGATTTATACTACTGATATAAAATTTTTAAAAAATACAAAAGAGAAAATATTATTAAAAGTAAGAAAATTTTCATGTACTTATATAAATTCTATAATAAAAAAAAGTAATAAATTATTATGTCTGACCAAAATCGATTTGTACTACTGATATTGAAAAGTCACTATGATTTTAAACTTTCTATTCGACTTAAAAAAAGAAGATACATTAAATGTTTGCGTAGAATTTTATTAACATTTTTTTTAGAAAATTGAATTCTGTTTATTTTTATTGCAATATATTGAAAATCATTGAATTTTGTAAGAGGAATATTAATAATTTGAAAATTATTTGTAACTTCTCCTAAATTCAATATTTTTTTGATGTTTTTAATTAATTAATTTCATTAATTCATTTTATTAATTAATTATTGAATAATTGAATGTTTATTAAAATTTCATTCTTATAAAGAATTTTATTAACAAATTTTTAAATAATTAAATTCTTCTTACGAATTTTAATAAAATTTTTTAGAATAGTTACATTTTTCAAGAAATTTGATTAAAATTGTATTAAAAATAATTGAAATTCTGCAATGAGTTTTATTATTTCTGAAAATAATTGAATTATTGAGAAAAAACTTTTAAAAAATTTGTAAACATTGGAATTCCTGGGAAATTTTTAATATTTATGAAAATAATTAAATGTTTGAGTACAATTTTATTAAAATTGTTTTTAAATAAATGAATTCTTTTAGTTAATTTTATTAAAATAGTAGATATTAAAAATCATTAAAATGAGGAAAATTTTTGAAAATAATTGAATTTCTGTCAAGAATTTTATTAAAATTTTTGAAAATATTTACATTTTGGTGAAGAATTTTTTTTATTTTCAAAGATAATAATTGAGATTTTGTCGAGATTTTTTTTTTTTGTAAATTTTAAACATAATTGAATTTTCTTAAAAGAATTTTATTACCTTTGAAAATAATTGAATTTCTGCAATCATTTTTAACTTCTTCAAAATTCAATTTTTTTTGGGTTTTTAACTAAAATTCTTCTGTAAATCCATTATTTTTAATAATCAATTAAATATTAATTTAAATATTTAAATAATAAATTTAATTCGATTAATTTTAGAAGATTTTGAATTATTAAAATTTTGAAAAAATTTGAGTTCATTAAAATTTCTAATTAAATTCATTCAACATTGAAATTTTCAAATTTTTCTGTAGACGAATTTTATAAAAAATTCTGCCTGACCAAAGATGACTTGTACTACTATATTTTTTGCTAAAATTTATACTCTTCATTTCGCTCCACAAATTCGAAAATCGATTGATTAGAGAATATTTTTATTTGCAAAATGTTTTCTTTCACATTTATTTATTAATAAAAAATATTTTACATGATGCCAAAAGGTCAAAGCAATTTTCAATCTTTTTTTTTTCTTTCTTTTTTTTTTGAAGGATGAGTAGATTTCCCTTTTTTTTGCAAGAGGTATGAGAGCGCATCTTTCACGACAGAAAAATCATTCGACTCTATATTTTCGGATCCAATAGCACATCTGGAAAACGTTTGAGGAAACAAGGAAAAAAGTATGGTAACTCTCTCTCTCTTTCTCCCTTTCTCTCTTTTTCTCTCTTTCTCTCTCAAATACACACACACACTCACTCGGTCGCACTCGGTTTGGTTGATATCTCTGCTTTTCGGTACAACGAACACTGATAATACGGGAGAGCGAGGAAGAGAGAAAACACGCCACTTTCAACAATCTACTGTGACGAATTCTTTCAATCCTACCGTCCATCCGTTCGTCTGTCACTCGCCTCGTCGAGAAATTCATCGACTATGAAACTTTCAGTGAAAAATATATATGTATATACATATAGTATATGAAAAAGTTCTACCCGCATTGCAATTTTTTCATTGAGGAAAATTAAAATGGAATTTTTTTCTATTTTTCAAATTTTTCGAATTTTTCAAATGTTTAATATTCGAAATTCATTAATTATTATGTTTTTATTTATTTTCAATATATTTTCAATATATTTCAATTTTATTTATTTTCAATTCAAATTTAAAAATTACCTACTTTTAATATTTAAAGGTTTTTTGTTTCTCCAAAAAAGGTCCAAATATAAATTTAAAAATAGTTTTCGAAAAAATTTAAAAAAAAAATGTTGCTGCAATATTTTTTTCAAA